TCCTTTGATTGGAGACCTTCATCGTATCGACCCCAGCAGAATGCACCTACAGTTCACAGAGGTATGTGGAGGTCAGAGGTGGGATGTAATTAAGTATTTAAGTACAGTACTTGTCACAGATTTGAGGTACTTTACTTGAGCATTTTCTCTTCTTGCCTTTTTCTACTTCTTCTCCACTTTTCACTTAGGTTTAATTTTCAATGCAATGACTTTAACTTGTAACAGAGTGTTTTACAGTATTAGTACGGTATTAGTACATTTACCTAAGTAAAGAATCTAAATACTACCTCCACCACTGGTTGAGGTCATACACACAGTATTAGATCCCATTCAGTCAAATAAAATGTCTGAGGCTGTTTACAAAAACACAACTTGGACTCGGTAGTCAGTGATTTATTTTTACACTTTTCCAAAAGTTATTACTTTTCCATAATGGAAGATGACACTGAATAACATTTGAATAACAACTTGACTCTGGTTATAGAAGAATCACAAAAGCAACATTTCAGAGCTGTTATACAACAAGCATGTTCCTCTTGAAAAAAGGAAGGAAATCATTAACTCAACACAATGGTGGAAAACAAATCCAGCCACACTGTTTGGTCTGATTTATCATTAAAATACCCAAAGACGTTGGGTAACACCACAATTTCAAGCAATTTGTCAGATGTTATGTATGATACACTTTGGTAATGTCAAACGGTAGTGTATTGTCATATAAACAAACTAAATACACAATCGTGTGTGTGTGTGGTTGCGTGCCAAAAGGAATGTGCCTTTGTCTTTGTACTGACCGTATGTTCAGCTGAGTATGAAACACGTGTTGGACAGAGACAAACAAACATGTGAGATGAAGCAGGAGGTTTGAGTTTGAGCTCACTGTATGTGTGGTTATGTTTAAGGCCAATTTAAGATGTGTGTGATCTTTAGGTTAGATTAACAGTTAGATGCAAAGACTGTTTCTGTGTGGAACATAACATTTAACTAAGATCACCATAGCAGTGCAGCTGAGGACAAATTATACAGTTTTATATAGTATTATTATACAGCAGAGGCCTTCATTGAATACCTTGATGGCCCAGAGATTTCTTTTTTTTTTTGGACCACACCCACACTTATCTGGAAAACAAATCACCTACAGCTCTCTACACCACCCACAACACAAACTCTTAACATTCCTTTTTTTAAAACATTTAACATCCAGCAATAGACACTACCATTGACCGTACACAATCCAGCCATATTCTAGATTTTTGTTTTAATTTCATCCTCAGAAAGTACACCAGCTCAGTGTTGAACCAAAACATCAGTCTGCTTCCTGTGTTCAGTTTGCAGAGAAATATGGGAAGATTTTCAGCCTTCGTCTCTTTGGTGGAAGGATTGTGGTCATTAATGGATACAAGCTTGTGAGAGAGGCCCTGGTCGAAAAAGGAGAGGACTTCATAGATCGCCCTGTTATACCACTTTTTTATACAATTTTTGGGAATAAAGGTAGTGTGTTTTGCATTTTGTTTAAAAAGTTGCTAGTGAGTATTTAGTTTGGGTAGTTGCGTCACTGACACCATATTAGTGTTTCACTAGTTGTGAGTTTTTATACCCATTTCCAATTTTGGTCTAATGCTGTTTTATGTTTCCAAAAGGTCTGGTTATTTCAAATGGCAATCTATGGAAGCAGCAGAGGAGATTTGCTCTTCATACACTCAGAAACTTTGGTGTTGGCAAGAAGACTCTGGAGCCATCCATCCAGCAGGAGTGCCAATATCTCACTGAGGCTTTTGCCCTTCAGCAAGGCACAAAACTGATCTTATTTTTCTACAAACAACAACTAATCAGCTCATTCTTTATCTCATCAAGCTATATAGCCATATGCTTTATTACCTCAACACATTTATCTTTATTACCGGTTCATTACACGAACCTGTTATTTCCCTTTACCCTGCATTTTGCTCCAACTTTGCAACACAGAAGCATGCACCAGCATCATGGAGCTTTGGACCATGCACCTTAGACCACGTGCATGTGACTCTGTTTCCCTGCTTCATTAGGGACAGCTGCTGTTTGCTTCATTTTGGCAGTGGCAGGAAGTCTGTATATAAATCTTTCATAACAACATGTCTGTCATCCTTAATCATAATCACACTTCACAATCAGCATATCACAGTACTTCTGCCTGCGGCTCATCACACATTTTATGTTTTAGTTTCTTTGTGTATTTTTTCTTTATTTTATAGGCAAACCTTTTAATACCCAGTCACTGATCAACAATGCTGTGTCCAACATCATCTGCTGCTTGGTGTTTGGGCATCGTTTTGAGTACACTGATGAGAAGTTCCAGCGTATTCTTAAGCATTTCAATGAGTTAGTGCTTTTACAAGGAAGTTTGTGGGCACAGGTGAGCTTCCTTTATAAACAAGATGCTGCACGCAATAATCTTATTTAACATCAGGATTTTGACTACATTCATGTGTATCAGGTAGAGGTGGAGGCAGTTTGAACTACATTGTAGATATTAAAGTGGACTTCTGTCACATACAGTCCTCTCTTTTACCACATAATGTTGAGAAAAAACCTTTAACCAGATAGATATGATCACTAACTGTTGTATTGTGACATTTTGACCTGTCAAAAACAATACCAGCACCCTGAGCCTAAATCAGCTAAATGGAATTCAGCCATCATTCATTTGACTATTTTGATTATTTACAGCTGTGATTTTCCCACTGTGACGTGTTTTGCTCTGTTTAGGGTTGGGCAATTTGGATACAATTCTCTATCACAGTACATGTAATTTTGTATATCAATATTTATTTATTTATTGTAATTTAGTCTGTTTTGTAAAAAGCCCAATGAAGGCAAAAAAGGAAATCTGTAACCTCCACCTGCAGTGTTTCCCCTATTATAGTACAGGCCAATAGGAACACCCGCCAGAAATATCTATTTTTTTTAAATGCCAAAAATATCTTATCTTTCAGAATCCCTTTGCATTTGTGCATCTGTGCAGTGCTGTTCTGAAAGACAAGTCAACCTCTGTGTGGTTGCCTGGGAAAGTGCCACTGCTATCAGGGTCCCTTGAAATTACTGTGGAGCTGGAGTGTTTTAACACACAAGCGATTCTAATTATTTATGCATTACTGTGTTCATCACTTTAATGTCTTAAAGGTGGAGCTCTTTTTAATGAGTCTATATACTGCTTAAAAGCTTTTGAACTTTGCCTTGAAGATCACTTAATTTAAGAATTTAAACACAGATAAATCTTATATTTTGGTTGGGGAAACAGATCTCAGGAAAAGGCTTAAAGGAGATTGTCAATATGTCATCCTGCTCGCTGTGTACCACAAGGCCTGAAAAAATTCAAGGGGAAACACTGACCTGTGTCTGTATTCAAGTTGTTAACTATTTTCTGAGTCTCAGATGATCTGCTATTTACCACAATGCTGAGTCTGTGAATACGTGGATTGAGCTGAGAGGAAGAACTTATGGGTGCCACACGTTACTCTCCCAATACAGCCTGAGCGTGTAAGAGACCGGTGATACAATAAGTCCCTTGAAAATAATGGGGGTGGGACAGGATAGGTACTCATTGCACAAGCCCACCTGGACGTTGGGAGGGTAGTAAGAATCGTATAGAGCAGTCGCGCCCAGGTGTAAAGTTGTGGGTATGGTTTCAGTTCCGAGCACCAACAGGTCCAGGTGCAATACACAAATTCTTCGCAAATTCGCAAAAA